TTTTCACATTGGTAACGAAGAAGAAATATAAAACACTAAAAAAAAAAAATCCATTAAAAAAAAAAAAGAAAAACATGAACAGGCAGAACGGGGGATTAAAAAGAAAGGGGTAAAAGATGGTAAAGGGTTGTCGTTAAACAAACCAAAGATCTGATTTAACTTTGGCTTATTGGTAATGGTGATAATCAAGTAAAAAAAAAAAATAAAAAAACAAACACAAAAAAAAAAAAAAAAAAAAAGAAAAGAAAAGAAAAAAAAAAAAGCGAAATTGAGGGAAACACAGTGGAGCATTTCTTAAGACAATTGCCATGAAAAGAAAAATTGGCTATGAAAAAATGTGCTTACCTTGTCATTTAGGCGCTGTCAGAAGGCAGGCACTGATATGAACCAATCCCTAATGAACTGTGCCAGTACATGTTCAGTACAAAAGATTGTGCCTGCATCAAGGCACAGGCTGAGTAGCTTTACAGCAATCTGGTCGCCTTTCCATTGGATGGTAGATGCCTCAAGTGTTCTCGAGATTGTTGAGATTGTTGGACCATGGATGTCAAGCAGTGAGAGAAGAGAACTTATTCTGCTGAGTGGGAAAACGCGGTTTTGAGAAGCGAGCAATCACGTGATAGATTTGCAGTGTTTGCTTTATCCAGCATTAGCTAATCTGACCTCATAAACGTAGCACTCGGTGGCTTAGTGCAACCTTGGTTCTTGTACTGTTCAAGACCGTCTTCCGGGACGGCCCGCTCCCTTCCAACATTTTGTTGGGCGAAGACGGGAACTTACGGAACTTACCTTGGGAAGCCCTACAGAAAGCTTAACGGCATAGATCAGACCTACTGTTCCTACAAAGATACATGCCCAATGGACAGAGTCAGGTACCAACCTTCACCTCCAGCTCAACGTCTGTACAGACAGTGGAGCCTTTCATGCATGCAATAGTCTAACCATTCATCTGGGAACAAAGACGACTGGCCACGAGCATCAGAGCCCCTTACTTAGTGCTCAAACCCCCGTCATAAAAGTCGCGATGGTCTGACTCCATTCGGCTCCTGCTTCGCTGCAAGTCATTGTAGGCATCAATTGCAATAAAGCAAACAATACACTTTTGACTTGCACAGTTGCAGTAGGCCATGACATGCAGCTGCCGCAACAGTCCCGCGATGTCACTGTTGTTCTGCGGGCTATATCCACTTGGACGTCCATCATACGGAGTAGAGCTGTTGCAATTTGTGTCTCTGATCTATTTACAGTCTGCTCGTATCAGTTAGCTACCAATACTACTGTCTACCGCATACTTGAATCTGATTAGTCTGGCAAAATGGTCTTGGAAGCCTTAATGAGCATGTTGGGCCTGCGTTCTAGTATCACATGACGGTCTGAGGATTCGGTACTCCCGCATAACCTATTCAGGGCATCTACAATAATCTCTCAACTGTCGTCTGCTCATTTACATGCCACATATTGCCATGAACTGGACGGGAGGTCGGTTGCAACGTCATTCGAACAATCGCTCCAGCAATCTTGCTAGAAATCAGAAGCAGAACTTTGCAAAATCAAGACTGAGGAGTACAAGAAGTTATCAGCAGGCTCCATCGCTCATTAAATTTGCCACTTTCGGGACATCGCATCAGGCAAAGTCCACTGAAGACGAGGCTCATAGGCATGGATTGGCTAAACAGGTACGATTCCTTGATCTTCGAACCCAACGATTGTGTGGCTCCATGGCGGCTGGAAGAACGTCCATCCACCGGCTCCGCAGCTAAATTGTGTATTTTCGATAGACTACGGTCAATCCTTCGCAGTCGCAGCTGACTAGAGATTCCTCCATTTGTTCTGAGGAAAAGAAAAACTCGCAGCCAGCCGATCGCCTAGAACATATCAAGCGCCAACTACTAGAGACAACAGACTGGGCTGCTGTCGGAGCTGCGCGGCCTCTCAAGATCTCATTCACACCAGTCGAGGAGGTCGAGCATTTTGGTAAAAGACGAAGATTAACAGAGGCTGACCGAACGAGATTAGCTACCATGGAACACAGGGCTTTGCCATCTGAATTTGCCAAGTCTCGCAAGACTCCTCGACAGGATATGTCATCGGATATACTTAGGATTGAGGATTTAGAAATTAAGATCAATGGACGGCGGTGCCATGCTGGCGGAGGCATTCCTAAAGAGCGTCGCGAGAACTTCTCCTCACAACCAATGCTCCTTGATAGAGATGTATCACTCTGTCCCAATGAGGGCTCGGATCCGTCAGTGCAGCAATACAGTGGCGCCGACACACGGAGCGCAAGGGAAGACTCAATTAACAGATCACTATATTGTTGGGAGAAATCAGAAGACCCTGAGTCGGCTATACACTCTATTATCTCCCCACGATCTCGTCTTTCCGAATCCGTCATTGCGGATCCGGTAACATCCAGCAGGAATGCCAGTGGACTGATCCAAACACCCGGGTTTCTGGGTCAGAATTTTGGAGCATCAAGCTCGACGGCATTGAGGTACCATGACAGCAACGAAGTCCATTACTCGTCGGGGTCAGTCATCCAAAATCGCTTCACGATTGACGATCAAATAGCCGCTGAGAAGGAGAGGTTCTCGAATGATGGGATAATGGTAAGGACAGTTCCGGACCGCCATCGGGGCCCGCAGCTTGAACAGGGCCCCTTTTCACAGTCCTCAAAATATCGACTCTCCCTCGATCAATCATTAGGTCATCATGAAAGTGAACCTGCAGCGGCAGACACGCAGTCACCATCTGGATGGCTTCCAGAGCCAAGGTGCAGTATACGACGGCCATTAAGCCAGAAAGTCCGATATCTTCATCCATTCGGGTCAGATATTCAGAAAGATACTGCTGGTCAAAATTCACGGATTGGACAGTATACATCACCGATGACGATATTCGCTCAACCTATAGATGTTGCAGGAGATCAAGAGAGTAATGAAACAACAAACTGGATGTCGACTCCGAGGAACTCTGCAGTCAATAAGCCGGAAATCACTCCATTAATTGAGGACAGCCACGCAACATCGATCTATCAATTCGCCAGCCAAAGTCCGGACAATCGCACGGACACCCAAGGCTCCTCACGGGTCAGTCACACAGGGATTGGGGACAATAAACGAGCCGATATAATTGACAGAATTTATACCGGCACTCCAATTTTCAGCAACAGCAACCCTGTATCCGTGCGCAGCTTCTCTGAAGCCCGTTCGGACAGAAATGCGACACCACTGACCATCTCAAGGCGTCATTCAGAAATCGAAGTTTGTACCCCGGAACACAGTGAGCACGGAGCTCAAATAGAACCATCATCAAGGATATACGGGCAAGACATGACAGATACTGTTGTACACCCTCTACTCCTCTCGTCCTCGCCTGATCCTTTGTTGTTATACGGAGATCTCTGATATATATCCTAGACCAGTCAGGCGACTTGAACAGTGCGACTCAGCACCTAGTGTCAGTAAAGCAGAGCATATGCTATACAAATATATCATAAAATGAGTTCCAACATGACAATCGCATTAAGCCTCGTACAAAAGACAAGTCGCTGATCACATGCTCGATCGTTTAGCCCTGCAGTCCTGCCCTACTTTCCCTTTTCGGGCGATAAGACAGTGTAACGTGACCGACAGCGGACAGCTCTCATTGCTGCCTCAGCTCCAGCCACCTCATGCCTACACTGATAGTCCATCATCAAATTGCCCTCGTTTATCAAGATATTATAGCAAAACGTCATCGGATCAAGCTAAGAACACATCCCCATGCACTACCTAACCAACCTCCTCCCCCTCCTCACACTCCCCATC